AGTGGGTTGGGGATTCCAGGCTGGCCTGTTGCCCATTGCCATGTGGGAGCTTCAGCGCTTCTGAAGGGATGGGGTCCGGAGGGCCGTGGGAGCCCAGAGTTTAAAGAGAGGAGAGTTGGAGAGTGCCGGCAGCTCTGTTTGTGTTGCAAAGGCAGCAAGGACAGAATTATGAACAGTTAACCATCTTTCTCCTGATTTCAGCATTGCTTGATCCAGGGACAGGAGGAGTGAAAAGCACAACACCACAGACCACACCCTCCATTGAAGAAGCCCAGTGGCCGGAGGAGAGAGCCCAACCCTACCCTGAGCTCTTAAAATGAGCTCACTGGTCCCCAGGTTGGGTGGGACGTTTTCCTGCACAGGTTGACTTCAACAGGTTTGCCAGAGGAACTTTCTCAGTCTACATGGTCCTTTCCAGCCTCTCGGAGCCTGACGCCCTCTCAGGCATCAAGTGACTGGGGCCAAGGCTGACCTTCGAAGGCTGCCTCATTTAGCCATGGCGTTCCCAAGACCTCAGTTCAGCGGACTTGATCCTGGCAGCCTGTGATTGTTGTTCCTGCCGGACTCCCCGCCATCTGCTTTGAACTTCTTGCTCTCCCATGCCAAGCCAGTCAAGAAGATTTATGGTGCTGTCTTCCAAGGGGCCATATTTTATGCTTAAAAAAGACATTCACTTGCAAGGAGCATGTTCATCTTCTTGTTACCATTACTGAAGGGAGTTATTGGAAATAATGTGGACTTTCCGAGTTGAATACCTGGAAATCCAGCAAGCCTACAATCTGGCTGTCCTCAGGCTTAGGAATCTAAGGATCCAGCAGGAGCCTTAAAGGCAGCCAAAAGCCTGCAATCCTTCCAGTCACCAAGGTTGGGCAGATGCCCCATGCAGGGGTCAATCCCTAGAGCCCTTGAGGCCCTCTCTTTCTCTGACCGAGAACTCCCGTGAGATGGGCAGCCAACTAAGGAAGGGGATCCTGCCTCTGCCTGGCCATTCTGCTTCCTGATGGTCCACAGTCAGTGGAAGACACTGATGCCTCAGCCATATGAACATCCCATTCTGGGCAGAGGAGGCTGCTGCTTAATATGAGAGTTAATGGACTCAAACCTCTACTGTTTAATTGGGTGGGATCTGAATTGCTTGGTCTAGAGTAGCAGGATTGGTCCCTCTCTGCTGCCTTCCTGTCCCTTCTTCTGAGCCCCCCCCCCCCACCTCTTCCCTTGTGAGCTCTCTGGCCTTTGGTCCAGAGGACAGAGGAGAGGCTGGATTGGGCCCTTCTGGTTTTAAAACCATTTTTGTTCCAATGAGTTGCTGTGAAAGGAAAAGACAATGCTTGCTTGATAGGTTCCTGCCTGCTCCGGTTTTCCTTCAAGGCAGATCCTGAAGGAGACCTTGATCCACGGATATCCTCCAGCGGCTCTTTTAACATGTGACTAAGTAGAGGCTTCAAATTAGGGGCAGGTGGGGGAACAGAAGCCCCACTGCAGCTGCTGCTGGATTTGAAGTCAGTTGCAGCAGTAGCTTCCTTCAGCCTGCTGGTCAGCAGCAAGGAATCCCGAGCCCTTCAAGCAACTGGACCACTTGGGATCATCTTAGGTCATCAAGTAAGCCATCTTCCTGCATCTCAGAAAGGGACCCATGTTTGAATGTCTTCCAGGTGCATAGATCATCAAAAAACAATGAAAGCATCTTAGCTTGTGTGAACCCTGGACTGAAAGACTGCACAGAAGCCAAGCCAAGCCAAGAAAGTTTGCAGGCCAGGCGTCTCCGGACTGGAGCTTTGCACCCTCCACCTTTAAAGATCCTCCGCTGCTTTTCAGGTCAGGCACACCTTTCTGTGGAGAGGAGCCACGGCTTCCCCAAGGAAAACCGGGAGATCCCTGTGATGACAACTTTTCTGGAGGAGGCCAGCTGGCGGGAGGCGAACATTCCGGGAGGGCAGGGAGGGGCGGCAGGGTGCACAATGTTTGAGGTGCTGGAAGGCATACAAGCCATTAACACATCAAATGCAGCAGGACTGGTAGGAGAGCCTGGGAGCGAGCCGCCTGGGTCGGATCGTGAGTCTTTTTAGTTTTTGTTTGGCAAATGGACAGATTGCAATGGTGCCTTTGAAGTGGATGGTGTTTGGATAGTGTTTCCTTTCCCCATTTATCTACGTTGAGGAACAGATTCAAGGGACAGTGTCCTCAAAAGGCACCAGGTGTCTATCCGAGTCCAGGCCCAGATTGATCCAGCCAGGCAGGCAAAGGAAGGTCCCGAAAGCTCCACCGCAGGGCTTTTAGCCCTGTCCCAGGCCTTGGCTGGGCTCCCTGGCTGCTGCTTGACCACTGGCAGCCCCCCTTCCCCAGCTGTGCGGGTAGACCTGCTCTGGGCTCCGGAGGCAAGGACGGGATGGGGCCTTGAAAGGGAGGTGCAGGGTGCCCCAAAGGTGCCCGCACCCTTCACAAGAACCCAGCTGCTGGCTCTGGGCTCCTCAGCTTTGCCTGCCTTGCTAAGCTGACCCAGCCTGAGACTTTTCTCTCCCTGGTCCTTATGGGCCCTCCGACACGGGATGGGTGGGGGGCTCACAACATTCATACGCGTGACTCATCCACAGAGGAAATAAAATCATCCCTTCTTAAAACTTTATCCAAGAGTCCTGCAGAGAAGCCAGAGTTTACTGCAGAGGTCGGTGATTCACTTTCGCTGATAGCTTCACTTTATGGCCACAGGGGGTGAGAAAGAGTCTCCTCTGACCTGGATCAGCAATCTAGAGCTTTTTTTTCTTTTAAAAAAAGAAAGTGATGCAGCTGCAATAATATTCCCTCTAAAATCTGTTCTCCCCCCAGTTCAATTTTGAAGGAAATACTGCTACTGAGAAGCAGGCCTCGTCTGGCTCAGACAGGTCCTCTGGGGGTCCCACCAAGAAGAAAAAAGGGGCAACCCCTTTAGTGGGATACTTTAAGGGAAATGAGGTTTTTCTTCTTGGGGTCATTGCTTACTCCTAAAACTGTATGCCAGATTCTAAGTGATCTCAAGATACTTCCAAGACTTATGCAACCCTTGAAACTGAATCCAGCCATTTGTTAATGTTTCAGGGAAAATGACAAGTTTGTTACCTAACAATAATTGTTTATTTGGAATTACACACACTGACACCACACATATATTGTAGAGTATATAGTATAAATGCTTATTGCTAGCACAGGTCTTTCTGAAGGTACACAAGACAAAAAGAAAAAATCCTTTCACCATGAATACTGGATATAACAAGAAAACTAATTTCTTAGAGCATTTTTTTTTTTAAAAAAAAACCCACAATCTTCTGCTGTAACACTACAGGACATGAATTCATGTTACACAGCTCAGGAACAATATTTGTATCTTGCTTGCTTCACCACTGGCAGAGAAGAGCTGTGATGATGCCCAGAGAATGCTAGGGGGCGAGGGAGTGTCCGGAGGGAGTGCTGGCCCCCCACAAGGACTGAGGCAGCCCTGAGGGCGCTCCCCCCCCCCCGTCTGGCAGGTGGGAATGGAAGGCACCTGCATGCACGCCCATTGTGTGCAATGAGGCTTGCGTAGAAAACGCCTGCTACTCTGGGCCACATGGCGTGGGGGGGGAGCCATCTGTTTTATGCTACGGAGACCCCTGTGCTGCCTGAAGCCAGTCTTGGGCGCTGCCTGACACGGAAGAAAAGCAGAGTGTTTCTGACACACAATCATTTTGGAGATCCATTCACCGAACGCAGTTGAGTACACACAGCTGTCCTCCCAACAGGTCAAATGCAGCCCAAGAGCCACTTCAGCCTTTGGGCCCCTGATGCCCTGGGAGGCACTCTGGGTTTTGGCTCAGCTCCTGGGGAAGCCTAGCCAGATCTGGCTGAGCGTGGTGCTGTGGCTGTGCTGTTTTCAGGGGCTCCCCAGCCAGAACTGGGGGGAGGGTGTTCCAGGGAGCCATTGAGTGAGTTGAGGGCTCCCTCTTCGGAATAAAAGTTGCTGCCTGAAATCATTTCAAGCAGAAAGCAGCCGAGGAGGATGGTTCCTGCTGATGGCAGGAATGGGACCCATCGACGGGGGTAACTCGGCTCCATCTGCCGACCTACGGCTTCCAGTCTTAAATCCAGCCTCCTGAGGCTGTAGGTCAGCAGAGGTTTTTTGGGGGGAGGATTCTCCTCAAAACCTTTGCCAGTGGTGGGAGGGACATCTGTTTGGTCACTACTTCAAAGCCACTTCAAAGAGGGCCAGGTTGGCACAGGGGGGGGCAAAATCATCAGAGGAGCTGGAGTCCGATGCCTGGGCGAGGGAAGAACCACCTGGATGATGGGGACTTTGGGAATTCTGAGGCCCCTGCATAGGGAAGGAAAGCATCTCCCCACCCCACCCCCAAAGGGCCTTCTGCAGTCAGACAAGGGGAATAAATGGAGGCGCCAGGAAGCCCATTTCATGAAGCAGCAGTGAGGGCTGCTGAGGAGGGCTGCCTCTTAGTGACCCCCGGGGGAAGGAGAGGGAATAGGAGGAGCCAAGGCCCTCCAGGAACACCACCTGGCCAAACTGCCTGTTCCTTCCCCCTGAGGAGAGCTAGGAGAGCCTCCCAAGGCAATGGCACAGGCAGCGGGACGGACGCCCACAAGATGCTCCAGACCTGCCTGGCTGGGTTGCCCAGAGAGCAGAGCGGCTGTCCCAGCCAGGGGCTGTCTCCTGCCTGCTCCTCCCCTGGAAAAGTCCTCTCAGCGCAGCCCTTCTTGTCCGGCCAAGAAGACAGTGCGCCTGTGTCTCTCAGCATGGGAATCGGCCATCCAGCTCAAACATGCTTCAAAAGATTTCTCTTTTGAGAGAAATCTTGCGCAAGATCAAAAGAGTGCGGTGTCAGCAGTGGAGAAGAACTCCTCAAGTTGAATAATGAACCTGGTTGTGATGTTACTTTTAAAAAAAAACAAATATCAGTGTCACTTTTTAAAAATTCCTGAGTGCTCAGTCCCTCTAGAGAAAGATAGAGGCGCGTCTGGTGCTGTGGAGCCCCCTCCTCTTAGGAGTTCTTCTGAGGAATCTTTATGGTCACTGTCTTTATTTCGGAGTATTCTCGCAAGCCACATTCTCCCCTGGCCACAAAAGGAAGACAAGGAGTCAAGGCCGGGCCCAGGTGCCCCCAACCAGCACTCAGAGCCTGGGCCATGGATGGGGCCAGTCCCCATGTGGGCAGGAGGAGGACTGGCTCAAGAAGGCACGTGTGGGACGTGGACAGCTCAGACTGGAGGGCTGACTGCAGCCTCACTCCCCAAAGGAAGGCGAGAGGAGGCAGGCCACTCTTGTCCAGTTGTGCGGTTCCAGGACAAAAGGGAATCCTGGTGGGTTCACCCCAAAGCGTTATCCAGCAGAGGGACCTGTTCTCCTACCCCAAAAATTTCTCTGAATTGGGAGCCTCTGGGACCCTCCGGACCTTCCCCCCAGAACCTGCAAGGCAAGTCCCCATCCAGAACAACCTTGCTTACATTTCTCTTCCGTTGCCGGACATCTTGAAACCTCCGAAAGGACTCTGGGCATTTAAGGCATTGTAGCAGTTGACCCTGGACAAAAGAGGGAGCGTGGCATGAGGGCAGTGCCCACTTCATCCACCACCCAGAACCATTGCCCAGCTGTACTCTGAACCTCACCAGACGGTTCCTGCCTGCATGGCAGAGGAGACAGTCAACGCCTTGTTGATGTCGCTGGTGAAGACGGCGGCCACCAGCCCGAAGTCGGAATTGTTGGCTCTCTCGATCACTTCCTCCATGGTTTTGAACTGCAGGATTTCTTGCACAGGCCCAAATATCTGCGGGGGGGGGGGTGTATGTAGAAGGAGGGCAAAGTCATTGATGGGAACAAGTCCACAAGGATTTGTATGCTGCCTCCGGATGAGGATCCAGCAGCACAGGGAAACGGATGGCTTTGTAGACACACAATTAATTGCACACAAAAAGTTCACCAAGCTTTAGGCCTTGGGCAATGGAAAACAGACAAACAATGGGAATGGCAGAAAAGGGTGTGCCCCAGAAATTTTTCCCCATGGGGAGCACCAGGATCTCAGGGCAGACATGCAATCCCCCAGGAGACCCCAGCTGCACGGCTGAGAAGCCCCTGGTGAAAACCTCTCAGACCAGACCAGAGAAAGGCCTCTGGCCAATTGAAGAGGGACTCAGGTGTCCCTGAGGATGGACTTATTGGTGGCTCTTCCAGGAAGCTGTGGAGATGTTGGATCGAGCTCAACAGCCAAGTAGGGTCGTATAGCCCATCAGCTCAGGTGGACTTTGGGGTCTGGCTGAGCCTGACCGAAGGGACTGAAATCATAACAGAGGAGGGGGAGAGTGGAGCCTGTTTGGGGGGGGTTAGCTGGGTACCTCTTCCCTGGCGATACGCATATCATCAGTCACGTTGGAGAAAACGGTGGGTTCGATGAAGAAGCCCTTGCGCCCCAATCCTTTGCCCCCGCACTCCAGCCTGGCCCCTTCAGCCACACCACTCTGGATCAGCTCCAGGACCTTGTTGTACTGCTTCTTGTCAATCTCAAGAGAATTGGGGGGGGAGGCTCCTTGGCACCGCTGGTCCTGGACCCAGTGATGCTTTCCCTTCTGCCCCACGGCCACATCCACCCTGCCACGGTGGGTCTGTCCCTGCCCTTTGCTCAGGCTTAGGCTCCAGACACAAGTGGCCCACCCTCCACCCACCAACCTGTGGTCCTTGCTCGGTGGTGGGGTCAAGGGGGCTGCCCACAACTCTCCTCTTGGCCCGTTCCACGCTCCTCCGGACGAACTCCTCATAGATGGTCTCCTCCACGTAGATGCGGGAGCCGGCCGTGCAGCACTGGCCTTGGTTGAAAAAGACCCCCTGGTGGGCCTGCTCCACCGCGTGCTCCACTGCAAGAGCAGAGCGGCTCCATCAGCCAGCACAGCCGGCCTGGCCCTCCGAGGGGGGCTGCTGGGATAGGGGAGGGGGTAAAAGACCAGGGCATCCCAAGGCACCCATCCCGTGGCTGGAGGGGGGGTCCCTTTAAATAGGGCAGAGTTCAAGATGATTTCCAGAGTCTGAGCAGAGCTAGGAGAGACCAGCTCTGCCCACAATGGACTGATTCATGGTTTTGCTTGCACAATCCGGGCTGGATAAAATCTGAAACAAGGCGGAACGGGTCCTGGGTTCAAATGCAAACACAGTAGCTGCAGCCTTTTGCCTCTTTTGTCTGTTGGGATCCAACTTGGACCCCTGAATGGACCCCTCCTTTCTTTTGAGGGAGGGTTTTGATGATTAGAAAAAATAGATTATAAAAAATGTAAGCCATGCTGTGGCCGTAGAGTAAGAGGCTAATTTATACTTACAAGTGCTATAAAAGAAAATAAAAAATCATATTTTATTTCTCTTTTTTATGCACTTTGGTCTTTGTCTTATCTCTTTTCTCTTTATTCAAAATATTACTTCTCCTTAGTCTTCTCTCTTCTAGAAAGAGGAGGAGAGTTGTTCAGAGAACAGCGGTGCCCTGCTAAGGGGCCAACTTACAATCTGCGTCCGCAAAGATAATGTTGGGGCTCTTCCCCCCGAGTTCCAGCGTCACCCGCTTCAAGTTGCTCCTGCCAGCTGCTTCTTGAACCAGCTTTCCAACCTGAATGGAAAAAGAAGGGGGAGCCTAGCAAAGCTCAGCCCCTGCCAGGACTCCGGGCCCCTCCACCAAGCCTGCTTTGGGTCCCTTCAGACGTGCTTGGGAGGCAGACCAGTCTTGGGAAGAAGAGCCGGTTCTTCTCAATTAAAGCTGAGCTTTTACTCAGAGAGCAGCCATAGCACTCGGCTCTCTTAACCCCCTTCGACTTGTTTTAGAGGAGGCTTTTGCATTTGTTTGATTCACGCAGAGCGAGGTTTCTCTGACTTCAAAACTACCAAATAACAGCCCAATAAATTTATGCAATTTCAGTGGGAGGAAAAGGGTGTCAAAATCCTATTTGTTCTCTACCCTCATTCATTCATGTTGTTCTTTGATCCAGTTTGTTTTGAATTGCTTTCTTTGTGATTTGTTAAAAACTCTGTTTTAAATTTGCGGTGAGCTGCTTTGGAGATGTGGTTTATGGCTGAATGGAAAATACTTATATTAAAAGGGAGGAATGTAACCCAGGCAAAGGAGCCCCTTGCAGGTACTGGAGACCTCCCTGGAGCCTTGTGGAACACGCCATGGTTATGCAAGCCTCTAGGAGGGACCATTTGCTGTGCAAACACCCCCCCCCCTCGGGCCAACATGGAAATCTGCTCCCTGAACCGGTCAGCTGTTGGTGCACAGCTCTGGGGCCCAGCAAAGCTCACCCTGCCAGACCGGCTACCACAAAGCCCAGGAAGAGGTCTCTGCCCACCCTACACACAGAATTGGGCTGTAGCCAAGGAGGGCAGAAGGCTTCTCAGTGCCAAGGTGGAAAAGTCAAATGAGCTGCTCCCCAGGGGAGGTTCTGAACTTATCTGGTGAAACTTGAGAAGGAGACCCTCTGGGTAAAATGGCTTCCTTTGGCTCCAACAAACCTGCTTCCTTGACATCATCCACCAACTCCCAATTAGCTTTTGGGTGCCCGTGGCTGGGGGCAACTGCCTAGCCTCTCAAGGAGGCCCCATTCAGGGTTGCCATTGAGATGGAGATCACTGCCACATTTGGGTAGAAGGTCTGAAAAGAAGTCCAGAAGCCCTGCAGAGAGATTTCCCCCTGGCTCTGGGTGTCTCAGTCCAGAGGATAAGATGCCCTGGGAAAGGTGCAGGCCCAGGCCTGCTGCTCCTCTCGGAGGTGGCCGGCTGGCCGGGCTCTGGCAAAGAGACAGGAGATGCCGGCTGAGAAGGGCAGCGATTATCAGTGTTAAGGCAGCTGTTCGCTCCAAACATTTGCTTGGCGTGAACCAATATTGGCCTCTCCCGTAGTTTGCTTTGATGGTCCTGCCCCGTATCTTGTTGACTAATGACGAACTCAAGCTTTGTTCAGCTCTTCACGGCATAAAGAAAACACCCGCATAAGGCAGGCAGGCACACTCTTTCCCAGGCCTTTGATCGAAGTTGTCGAGGGACCTGGCTAAATATCTTGGACTTTGCACCAAAACCATTAAAAAGAAACACAACTTTGCAAAATAGAATGAGTCCAGCTCACTGGGGTGTGTCTCTGCTGCACCACCCAAACCCCACCATTCATTTCTGCACACAAGCTGCATCTGATTGCGGAGGGAAAGTAAACTTGGATCAAACTTCAATTGTTCTGAGATGAGTCTAGAGTTTCTGTCCACAGGAGACAGAATGGGGTGAGGAAACATAAATCCTCCTTTGAGAGGGAAACAACAATGCAATGGCTTTGGGACAGAAACTCCAGCTAAGCATTGGAGATTTACAAAGCTGTCCGAAGAGAAGCCAACACAATGTGGCAATCTATGATGAATTATTGCTTTCCAGCTCCCAACAGTGACACGCAAACCTGCCTTCCTGAGTAAATCTCAGTATGTTGCTGGCCTTTCTCCCCCATAAGACTTGCCGAAGGGATCAGTTCAGGTCAGGCTAATCCAGTAATCTGGCCTTCAGTTTCTAAGAGCTGCTAAGCAAGGGGCCCTGGGAAATTCCCAAGCAAAGAATTTTAAAAAGGCCCAACTGGGAATATGGCTACCAAATGTCAGGCATAAGAGATACTCTGCAAGTCCTCCTAATTTTGGAGAGTTAATTGCATTTCAGTTTGTAACTTGGTTTAGGAAGTGTGGAGTAGAAGCATTTCTCCCCCATCTCTGCTCATCCATGTCTTCTTCCTGTTGTTCTACAGATCTAATGGAAGACCTTCACTCCTGACGCTTCACCTCTTTGCTCAGCAACCCCACATTTTCCCAACTTAACACGAAAGGGTGGCCTTTTGCCTCCTTGGCAATGAACACCCCCCACACACACTTTTTGGTTCAGCAGTGGAAAGGAAGCAGAAGGCACTCCAGCCCTGGGGGGGGGCATGGAAATGACCCACAGGTGCAACATCACCTGCTTGCCTCCCCAGCCAATATAGGGCATGCAGAGCAAGGCTGACTTGGGACAGACCTGCTTGGTCCACAGTCCCAGCCTGGCCCCCAATCTTGCAGCCTGAAGGGTTCCTCTCTGGCACCACAGTGGCCCGTGTGGTAACCCCCAAACGGCAAGCCAGATTCCATTGATGGCCCGGGGAAAGGAAGGCACAACTCTGAAATGGCAACAGTGCCAAGCAACTGAAGGACAAAGAGCCACCCTCAGAGGGGCTGGCAGGGGGGGCTGCACTGGTGGAAAGGAAAGAGAGAAGCAGGATCTTCCTGCCTCCCCCATGCCCAGCTTCTCCAAATGCTGCTTTGCAGAAGGTACAGGGGAAGCTGGCAGTAACCATCCCTCTGGGGAAAGGATGGGCCTCAAGGGAGGGCTGTTTTGCTAATTTCCCCACTTCTGCTGCCTGGAGGTCAAGCACAACTTTGGGAAAAACAAGGGCAGTGCTGGGCTTGCTTTGCAGCACCATCTCTAATGAGCCATAGATGAAAAGCCTGCGATGGGGACTGCATGGGAAGTGACCCATGACCAGAGAGTTTGGGGAAGACAATCCCTGGTGGTGAGAGGCTCCTAGGCTGCCAGCCCTCCACTTGCAGGAGGTGAGCCCTGCACAGGGGTGGGGGCTCCAAGGAGGCACATCAAAGGGTCCCAGGGAGAGCATCCATTCCAGTGCCCAGGCAGGAGGAAGAGAAACAGGGCCTGGGAACCAGAAAATGCCAAAAAGGCCGAGCCAAACCTATGTCCGTCCCTGGCTGAGCGTCGCTCAGTATCACACTCAGTGGTACCGTAACTGCTGAATGCCTCTGAGTTACCAGCTTTGGCAGAGGTCCTATTTTTTCACCAGAAACCCTCCTGAATTTGGTGGCACCTTTTTCTGAACAGCACGCAGAGGTCCAGAGCACAACTAAGAGTTGAAGAATAAATGCAGCCTTCATTTCCAGAAGCTGTGCTGATTGTGTAGCTATTAATATGCAGCCAAAGAATTCTGAGGAAGGAGCTTCGGTGGCAAAGGGGTTCACGGTTAAGCACTGCATTAAGAACTTCTTTTGCTATGGATGAGTAAAAGAAAGAGGGGAAGGGGCTGCAGAGGGGGTGGAAAACTTGCTTCAGAACACTTCCTCTTCCCCACCAGCCTTCTCCAGGATGGATCCAAGCCCCACCGCAGGACTGTAAACCTTGCGTCCTTTGAGACTTTGGCCGGCCTGAGCCAAAAGCTCTCGGTCTGCTAGCTGATCAGCTGCTGCTCTGGCCAAAACTGGCGGCTGCTGGGCACCTAGGAGCAGACCGAGAGCAAGGGGGCTTCTCGGGCCCAGCAGGCCAAGGAACCTATCTCAAGACATCTCTTGCTGCTACAAGAATTCCACAGGACAGGAAATCAAAACCAACATGAAGCAGTTTACACTCAAGTCGGATTAAAATATTCCAGCTGCTCCTGCTTTAGGTTTTTTTCATCCTGCAATGCTTTTCACTTCCTGTTACCAGCTTTTCAAGGCAAATACCGAATTAGGGCAAAATCCCAGGCATTTTAATTTTAAACACCTATTAAAAATGAAAGCCCTCTGAAATGACAGGGAACATTTATTTTGGCTGCAATCGGCAGTTCTGAAACCGAAGCCTTCTGTGTTTCCTTCCCACAGTAAGTCAGCAGCAGCCAGTGCGAGAGTCTCCTTAACCAAACATAGGCCAAAGCCGCTCAACAAATCCACCAGGACACCTGACTTGGGCACAGTCGGCTCCCACAAACTCTAAGGGAGCCCGAAGGGAAGGGGGAAGCCACTCCCTCACAGCCTGGATGAGTCATTGAAGGTGCCCTGAGGGTGGGGTGAGGCTGGGACACATAGCCCTGGAGCAGGGGGGAAGGGATTACACACGAGGTTTGAGAAATGATGGGAAGAGGAGTTGCCATTACTGAAAAGGCCTCAACCATCCGGCATCCAGTCTCTTCTTGGTGTGGGGGATTCCTAAATGCTTCGGTTTCTGAATGCCAATGCAAAGGATGGGGTGATGCTCTCTTCCCCCCCGCAGCACCCAATCTTACCTCTGTGGAACCTGTGAAGGCGATTTTATCAATCCCTGTGTGCGAAGCAATTGCCGCCCCCACAGTGGGTCCAAATCCAGGCAAAATGTTGACCACACCTGGAGGAAACCCCGCCTGTCAAGGGAAGGGGAGGGGAGAGAGAGAGCATGGCTGAGGAAAAGCTGGGGGCAGCAGGGGCCCGTGGCCACACATGTGTCGGGGGCTCCTTACCTCCTTGATGAGGGCGCCCAGGTGGAGGGCGGTGAGCGGGGTTTGCTCAGCCGGCTTGAGGACCACGGTGTTGCCGCAGCAAAGGGCCGGTGCAATCTTCCACGCAAACATCAGGAGGGGGAAGTTCCACTGTGCAAGCAAAATGCTTTTGTTGTGAGTTAGTCAGCACATCATTTTAGCCAGGAAAAAAAGGTGTCTGAATTGGTTGACTGGACGGATTAGCTCCATCCTTATTCTTGCAGCAAAATTTTCTCTCCTTTTATATGGTCCCGGTTGACAGGGGGCATGCAAATCAAGTCTGTGATCCTGCCCCACTGATTGCCCCATAGCCCTCAACTGACTCTGCGCTGTGGCTCAGCCTGAGCATGACTTGAGCAGAGGGATGTGGACACATGGAATGCCTTTTCCCAGAAGAAGCCCTTTGTTGCCAGCTCCTGCATAAAATGGGGAGGGGGACAGCAGATGCCACACAAGCGAGGGAGGCTGGCACAGAGGGCCCCTTAATGCCCCTTTGGAGCCCCTGCTCCTTTATGGGACTTTTTGACACTCTTCCTGCCAAAAACACAAAGCTGTGGTGCTGTGGTTCTGCTTGGCCCCCAAAGGGGAGGAAGAGGCCGGCTGTCCTCTGCTGGCCCAGGGAAAGGGAGGCCCTTCAGCTGCACTGCTCAACAGATCCTCCTGGCCCTCTGGGAAGGCCTAGTTGCCTTGGGGTGTCTCAGGAAAGAAGGCACAAGGGATGGCACCCATGGCCTCCCTGCTGGGTGCCCCAATATTTTGGACCTATTGAAGACAAAAGGTAAAATGCCTCTATAAGGCATCCTATTTATTTCCTTCCTTCCTTCCTTCCTTCCTTCCTTCCTTCCTTCCTTCCTTCCTTCCTTCCTTCCTTCCTTCCTTCCTTCCTTCCTTCCTTCCTTCCTTCCACCTCCCTGCCTCTCTTGGCCAGCAACCACCAAAGGCTGCTGGATTGTTTGGCTTTGCTTGCTCTGGTCCTGGGAATTCTGAGGCTGGAGGCTCCCCTAATAATGCTGCTCTAAAACTCTATTAAGATGTGCAAATAAGCAATGGAAGGGCGACTGACGTCTACAGATCCTCCCGCAGTGTGTTTTCCCTCCCCTGGCCTGGTCACCCCTAATGAGAAACACACCCGGGCTGAAGCTCCCTTCAAGGGAGCCGATTCCAATGAAAATAAATACGAGGTGTATTGGAGAGACTCACCGGGATGATCTGTCCACACACGCCAATGGGCTCATGCCTCGTAAAGGTGAAATAATCTCCGTCTGGAAGAGAGGGACCTGCTTAGTCTCACGAGCACCCTGAGAGGAGCAGCCAGAGAGAGAAGAGCAGCACACTCTGTGTGTGTGTGTGTGTACGCGCGTGCACGCGTGCGCACTTGTGCGTGCGAGTGTGCAGACAAAAAAGAAAGATGGTGCCAGGTTCTCTGGTGAGCATCACACGGCCAGCCAGAAACCCCAGCTGCTCCCATCCTCTGGCCCAAACAAGGCCTCCCCCGCTCCCCTGACCATTTCTGCCTTTCAGGGGCTCCCTCTGTTCCTCTGCCCAGAGTCCACCACCTGGCCAGGGGCCCGTCCGCCGGGACTCTGCCTTCAGGAGGGGCCAGCCAAAGCCCCCGACCTGCTGGCTAATCCTGTGGACTTCCTGGCTATTCTATTTGGAATGGGCCCGATCCTATCCCTGTCTGGGAAGGCTGTTTGGAAGGGCTGATTTGACCAAGCGCCACCAGGCCTGTCTTTGCTCAAAGGCCGGCCTGGTGGTGCTGGACATTGCTTGTCTCGCAGAAGGCTGCAGTCAATCCAGGGGATGCCGGGTACACTGGGGGTCACCCCTGTTCAAAAGGTGCCCTGGAAATGAAACCCCCCCCTCTTGTTTCACTGAATGCCATCAATCATTACTGCTTTGCGGAATAGAGCTGATGGTGCCTGTTCAGCCCTGTATCTTCTCCCCCCACCCCGGCCCAGATCTTGAGCTGTGGGGTTTTGAGAGGAGAACGCTATCGTTTCTGTTAGCCTCCCCATAACTTAATTCCCACTTTATAAACAGAGATGTGAGTGATTTAGCCCACTGCCCCTGGCTGGGGGTCCTAGCCCACAACTACAACTGGAGGGCAGTGCATTATGGGGCTGCTCTCCTGCTCCATGGAGGGGCAGCTTTTCTGCTTCTTAATTCCTTCCAAAGGAAGAACCGGGGTCCCTCCTTGCATGAAGTAGAAAGGGGGAGCAAGGGAGGCCACATGGCTCACCCCAGAGAACGGAAGGGGAGAGAAAGGTGAGGCCAGGACAGGAACTCGTGAATGGCCGGCCTGCCAGGATTTCAGGCGAGATGGGAGGGCTTCTATGGGATGTGGGACATTTCTCCAGAGAGGAGCTGAGAAGGACCCTGCCAGCCTTCGATCATGGAAAACTTGGGACTTCCAACGGCATCCAAGGTCCAGCCTTGTTTCCAACCTGACTCAGATCAGCCACAGGCTCTTTTTTGCCTTGCCGTATTTCCCCACTTCTTTGCGCTGAACAATTTGGGGAGGGGGATGGAGGGAAGAGGGTCTGCCCAGCCAGCTGGGATCCACTTTGGTGAGCAGTGATGTTTTCAAGGCATTCCAAGGAGCCACATAAAGACCGGCCAGTTATCAGCAAAAAGGGAGTGGAGAAAGGAAGCCAGAGCAGATAAGGGAAGTTTCCACCCGGTGGTGGAGGAGGGGGGAGGACTGGGGAGGCTAATTAGGAAAAGGCCCAGAGGAGATAAAAGGAGATGGAACCCCCCCTTCCCATCCTCCTGTTGGGTAGGCCGGTCGGCAGCCAGAACCATCTGGAGGGCATCAGCTCTGGGTAGATATACCAGGCAGCACAGCTGCAGCCAGCTGTTTCTTAGAGAGGAGCTGCCTCACCCTCAAGGGATGTTTGGAAGTTGATCATTTTCAGACCAACCCCATTTGGGAAGCCAAAGGCCCTTTCTGGACCCCGAGCCAAAGAAGCAGCTCCCGAGGAACCATTTTCCCCTCTGTGCCATGGCTAGCCGGCTGACTCTGAAGCGATTCAGAGAGATGGAGCGATTGGGCTTGGACTGAGGCAAGAGGCAGATGGCAAATTCCAGTCTCAGATTTCCAGAGACATTAAAATGTAATCCCAAGAGAGTGAATATTCCTCATGCCCTGAATGGGCCGAAGCCTCTCGCGGTGCTCCTTCCAGCAAGAAATACCCCACGGAAGCTGCTAGGAATGGTGTTGTGTGCCTAGGACAGCTGAGCCGGTTCCCTGCCAAGCTGGGGGCTTTATCTCTCAGCTAAAGAGGGAGAAGCCCCATGACCCCACCCAGAAATCTGCCATGGGCACTCAGGCCTTCCCCTAAGGGCCCCTGGACTTTGGGGCTTGATCAGCCAGTTTGCTGCCCAATTTCATCAGGCTGGACTCAGCCACCCAGCACCCCACTTTTTACGGCTGTTCCTGACCTGAGATGAGGGTGCAGATGGTTAACTAAATTGCGGCTTGGGATCAGGCAAGGCTGGATCCTCTGACCTGGCCCAACCTGCCAGGACTTCCAAAGCTCGAGGTGGCCTTTGGAGGCACCTTTTTCTCACCCTCAGGATCTGCAGTTTGATGGACCACTTTACTAGACTTCCCTTGTGCAGAAAGGTTTATGGAGAGGAGGGAGATTAAAGTCAGCTGTCTTCTCTGTACCTTGCCTGCCCACCTGATGTGCACTATAAAATGGGTGTCAATGAGGCCGAGTAACAATGTTTGACAAAAACAGACCACTTTGCCCAAACGTTGATCTTTCTGCTGCTGGGAATTGCCCTTCTGGGCGGAAACTGAGCAGGCAATGCTGAAAGTTTTACTGTTTCCATAAAACCACTGAAACTCCCTGGCAATTAAAAGAATCCTGCTTTAAACTGGGGCAGGAAAGCATCAGGCCGTTTGTGGTTCTCATCTGGCTGTATATCCAGCATCCTTCTCGGCTCAGGGGAAGGCGGTCATGGCTGGGGGGGATCAGCCAGGGTGCTAAACTGAGCCTGACAAGCACACTCTGCCCCAGAGAATGATGGGTCTGTATGAAGACCAGGGGCATGGAAGGCCAAGCTTGGCCCCTTTCGCGGAGGACTACCCTGCGCCCACTCACAGGTGACTGGTCTCCAGTTGGAGATGGTGCTGGATCTTGAGATGGCAAAGGTGCTAATGACCCAGGCCTGAGTTTAAGGAAAAATGGACCTCCGGGTTCAGTGGAGGAAAAGAATGGGGGGGGGGGGCTCAGAACACAGCAACTCCATGCAAGTGCCCCAGCCTGGCACTGGAGATACATATGCCACAGAACGAATGCAGGGCAGATTCTAACTTACCCACTGGGATGGTCAATCCATGAATCTTGTCTGCCCAACCGGCGAAATACCGCAAGGTCTTGATCACGCCGTGAAGGTCAACGTAGAAGGCCTGGAGGAATGGCTTCCCACTGTTCAGCGACTCCATGGTCTGGGAGGCAAAGAGGAGCAAGAATCAAGGCTTAGTTTTCGACTTTGTAATAGAATTAGCTGTAAGGAATGTGCAGTGGGGATGGCTGCTCTTGGAGCTTGGTGCAACAGAGTGGTTCTGGACACATTGAGCTGCCAATGCTGTGGCCAAGGCAGTATGCACTCATGTGTCTAGTCCACATTTAGAGAGGTGGCACAGAGCAGACCGCTGAGCCACCTAAGAGCAGAAAGCCGCCCGAGGGCTAAAAAGGCACAATTCAGGTCAAGGCCAGCTGAGCTTTGGTGGGATCCCAGTGTGATTCATCTGGAGCGCCTCCCTTGCAAGGTCAAAATCCTGAGACATTGCTAAGGGGGCTGCTCAGGACACGTAGCCTCCACTGTGCCTTGCACCCCACCCAGTTCTGTGCTGGAGGAGAGCATTGTCCTTTTTCACAGGGTACATCAAAGCCATTCTGGCAGCAGTTTTCTGTCCCCCTGAAAGGCAGGGAGGGGGCCCACAAAAGCACCCTGGCCCAGGTCCCCCAAGGTCAGGAGATGCCACCTGGCCCTCCTCGGGGGCTGCCCTGTCCAGGTAATTCAGATCAGCCTTTCGGCCCCAGCACAAGGCAAAATGTCCTCCAGCCCTCTCGACGCTGGGACCAAACAGCTGCCAAGTGGGAACTCCTAAAGAAGAGCTGGACGGTCCCTCCAGGGAGAGTTGAGCGGGTGCTCAAGAATGCCTGTCTCAGCTGCTGCCTGAGGCTCCTCTGGCAATCAAGATAGCTCCCGTGCCCTTCCCCACCGAGGCTCCAAACCAATTAAAAGAAGCCGCAGGCCCTTGTTGAGGGGATATTTCCATATTCCTCTTAAGGAGCCCCATAAAATATTTGCTGCGATGGCTTAAATCACTTTTAAGAGGCCCCATTATCTGCCCACGAAGGTTGCGGCAGAGGAAATGCATCCGTGGAAGCCGCTGGGTGAGAGCCATAAATCCAGTTGAAGCACAGGAAGACTGCTGCACCTCCATTTCTTCTGCCGGTGGGGCCGGCAGCCACGTCTATGGTGGACAAATTCAACAAAGGTTTGGCTCAGGAACCACAAATCCAGCCACCGGCAGACGGCCAGCTGATTTGCTGAGCCCCTCCCTTCTCCCTGTGGTGATTTTACAGCGTATGCTGGTGGTAAGATGATTTAAGTGTTGACAAAGCTGGAATTAAGATGTTTGCCGGCTTAGTTCAAAGCGCTTGACATGTGGAAAATAACATTAGCCATGCCACCGTATCGGGGCTCACCACGTGCTCCACCGCAGTGGGCCTGCAGCTCAGTGCTTCTTGGGCACCCTGGGTGGGGGAAGCCCAGATCTGCCCAGGGTTGACCAGGATGGCTTTTGCACCATTATTGGTCGAATTTGCCCTGGAATTCAAAGGCTACTCTCGGCGCTCTCCCAAGAACTTACAATGGCTCAAGTAGAAGAAGCATTTAGAAAGGCAGCTGCCTTGGGCAGTGCTTGGCCTCCTCCCGCAGCGTCCCACCCGCCTGACTTACGGCAAGGAGGGCCCGGTCTCTCTCCACCAGATCGGCCAGCTTTTCCAAGAGGTGTCCTCGCTCAGAGGCATCCATCCTCCGCCACACCGAGCCCAGGGAGAAGGCCAGCCGAGCAGCCTGCACCGCCTTGTCTGTGTCAACCTGCCAAATGGGAGAAGCATGAGGGCCAGCGGTGCTCAGGGTACCCCAAGAGCCACCCCCTCGCTTGGCAACTGGAACCCCCCCTCCCTCCCAGAAAGCAGCACCCTGCAGTTCCTGCAACCTCACAGGGGGGGCTGGGGGGACCTGGATGCCAGACCTTCCCTGACCATGGAGCCGGCCTGGCCATTTGCATCCGGCCTTTTTTCTCTCAAGCTGACTTTCCTTACAGGACCATTGCAGGGAGATGCAAGGGCAGGCTAGAAATGCCACTTATCTTTACCTTGTCAGCTTCTTGCACGTCACAGATCTGTTCTCCTGTTGCAGGATTAAATACAGGGAATATTTTCCCACTCTCAGAGTTTTGCCACTCGTTGTTGATAAAGATCTGAAATGGCAAGAAAAAAATGAGCCTTTTTGGTTTTGGCTAAAATGCAGAGGTTCCCCTTCATCTTCCCTCTTCTGGCACTTTTGGGGTGCTAGAAAGCCTCCTCCTTTCCCTCCTAGACAGGCCTTCTTCCTGCACCTGAGTCCTTTCAGGACTACCATTTCCAGCATCCCTGGTCACTATTATTTTCCCCCAGGGGTCATGGGAACCATAGTTCCACTAGCATGAGGGTCACCAGGCTGCTTTCCCTGGTTTCAGGGTTCCCTTCTGGGAGCCTGGACAGAGGCTGCTTGAAGGACGCTTCCTGCCCGCCTCGTTGTTGGTTGTGTGCAACTGACAAAGACACCCCCTGGCCATGTCTGGCCTTAGAGGAGGGGGAATACCTCTGGTTTTGGCAAAATCAGGGCCCTTCCTTCAATCCCCCCCATCCGCTTTCCGAACCCCCCAAATGGATCCCCTTTTTCTTGGGGTGATGTCCTCAAAAGCAACTGGCAACAAGCAGGCTGAAAGCCCCCCAGGGACCTTCCCCACCCAAGGCGGCTGAGCATTGCAGGGGTGCCCTCTCGGACGTCACATGGAAACGCTCGGTCAGGGCCTTGAGTCTCCCAATGCAGGAAGAGGCAGTGGAGGAGTTGCTACTGTTAATGGTTAACATTCACTTCTTCCTGTCCCACGTTGTTCTATAAACAAAATTCAGGCTTTGCCAGATCATTTCTGTAAACGGACTGCCTTCAATTTGGCTGTAAAGGAGGAATATTTACTCTCTCCTCCATATAAAGTACCTCGGCCAACTTCCTGGAAAGGTTTCAAGTCCTGAAATTCAGCAGCTGGCGGCTTTACAAGCCCGATCTCATGCTGAAACAACTCACTTTTGGGGAGTTTAGGCATCTGGTGTCAGGTAGTGCCATGCCACAAGCCCCCTCCCGCCCAGAGGCAGAGTCTTCAAGGATAAATGAGGCTTTGCCAGGACTTTTAAGAACTTCCAGTGGACGTTGATTAAATGCTGAGAGCTACACATTTGATCTGACTTTCATTAGGGCCAGTTCGTAAAAATGCCACCGGCTCGGACAAGAATGACACATTGTGCGAACAGGGATCCCTGCGAAGCCTCAAATGGGGTTTTCATCCCACTCGCTTGTTTTGTTCTTATTTATTGCGACCATTGTAGTGGGCAACGTTAAATCAAGGCGGCTATTTGACAGCAAATGTTGCTATCAGTGAATTATATACAGCCCTTCCCCAAGCCCAGAGGAAGAAAGGGACAGCCCCAGGGAGAAAGGGCCCCTTTGTAAATCATGCCCAGATTGGCACCGCCCAGAGGGGGCATTGTTCCTTCTCAAGTGGGAAAGCTCTCCAGCCGGCACAATTGCCCTGGAATCAGGGTTAATTAAGGCTAGCTGCAGCCATAAATCAGCTGGGGGATTTTTACAACTTAATTCAGCCTTAAGCCACAGTGCGTGTGGGTGAATATATGGATGGTAACTGATTAACCAGGTTTCCCAAGAGTTGCTAAGACATGTGTTTTGATTTGAGCCCAGAGTTATTGCTCTTGGGGTGAGAAATCAGGGGGAAGGGGAGTAGTTAGCCATCGGCGGTAGGAGTCCTGACTGTGGGGGCAGGCTGGCTCAGTCAGGCAGGGGGGTTCACCCTGGAAAGTGTGGGTGCAAAGAGCTCTTGGTACCCCAACTCTGTCCCCTTGGCTCTGCCTGGCCCCCTGCCCCTCAACCTGGTGCCCATTGTCCTTCTCTTAGCTGAATTGTGGCTAGTTTTAAGGGTAGAGAAATTTTCAAGAAGCAAGTGGAATAATTTCAAATGCAAAAACATCTTCCAGACAGGGTATCTTTTTTCACAGCTACCTTTTGACAAACCAGTAAAGAGCATCACCTTGCAATGGCTTCTCTTTGTGGCCTGGAACTCAGAGAGACCATCTGATTCTTCTGGTGCTCACCTGACAGACCAGCCTTTTCTCTCAAAGGGAGAACTTTGCAAAGGGAGACAGAGATTGCCCCCCATTTGGCTCCCTGAATTCACAGTCGCTGTCCAGCCTGGCAAACTGGGAGGCTCCCATTTCCTTTGCTGGGAGATTCTCCTGTGCTGCTGCATGTGATGCGCAATCCTCTCCGTACCGCTGGGATTGGTGTTACCAGCCGCCCATGTCCAGCCAGAGCCTGAATGTGCTTCCCCAGGCCTTGCTTTTCCCCAGTTTTAGTAAGCCATGTTCTTGTGCTTTTTGACATTCCGGGAGGATTTTCCCCCTTCTGTACAGGAAAGGGATTTCAGTATCCACTTAAAAATAGGCTTCCCCATAGGGGAGAAGCAGGTGTGTGGATGAATCGGAAGGTCCTACTTGCACTGATTTAGTAGCTGGTTACAGTTTCAGTTCCATCAAAGTGATTATTTTTCATATGATGATTGATCCTTTGAGAGGTTTTGAGGCCAAACCTGTAAAACTGGAGCGAGGGGGGTGTCAAATGCCAGAGACGTTTATGGAGGAGTCACAGCTGTTTGGCCCCAAGTGACCGTCCTGTGGCTGAAGAGCTGAGTACATAACGGTACTTTTTTTGGACAATTTTGAAAACACGCAAAAAATGTGGCAGCTTGCATTTCCCTTGGTAGGTATTTCATAATCCTGCTGACGCTGGGCCAGCACCTGTGTCTCTGGATGTGCTTGACCCTTCCTGTCCTTATCCTGGACAAATGTTTCCCGAACCCTGGTGCTGTTCCAAAAGTTGAGCCTCGATGCATCTGAATTTCTGAGAATTCATTTGTTTTTGGCCTGGTGGCTGCCCTGATCCACACGGGACCACATCCATGCAGAGGAGACTTGAAGATCCTGGGCTCAGCTAAACATGGGGAGATGTGACACCCCCCCTCCAAGTACTCCTCCACCTTCTCCTGTGAAGGTCAGTCCTTTCCTGGTTTTTGCCCTTCTCTAGGTGGTGGGGCCCAGGGACCCTTGTCTGAAATTGCTTGGCCCTTTAGGAGAGTGGCTTGCCTAGACAAGTCCTCTTCCATAGGAAGAGCATCATGGAGACAAGACACAAAAATGATGCCATGTGGGTCTCTCTGTCCTGACTGGGTGTGTCTCTCTAGGCCCCAGATGGGGCAACCAGCCTCCACCGTTCTCTGCCAAGAGGGCCCTGAGAGCCAGAGAGGCTGAACCTAATAGTTTTGCTCTGTTTGCATGTTCCTCCCTCACCAGTGGCTGATTTCAGGTATCCAATTGGGGGGGGGGCTCACAGGAGACACTGAATAGCAAATCACATAAGCTAGTGGGGTGCCAGGCAGTCTGTGGCAGCCGGGTCTGTGGTCCTTTCTACCTGCAAGATGGCAAACGCAGATACCCCAGGAAAGGAGCCACCACTGCAAAGACTGGGGACCACTCTGAGCAGAGCCTCAGGACTGAGGGGGAGGCAGAGAGGCTGGCTGGCGGGCAGAGGAGGGATTGGGGGAGCAGCGGCGTGAGCAGGAGAACTAGATGGAGCGCTGAGAAGAGGAGGGAACCTCCCCTTTGGGATGAGGTCAGAGGGAAGGAAGGTCTTTCTGCACATCACTCACAATTCATGAACCCCACTTTGGGGAGGCAGAGAAAGAATCCGTCCTCAAAAAAGTAGGGAGAACAGGGCCCGATCCACCAGCCATTGCCGACCAAACGGATCTCAGTTCAACTCCTAGAACTCAATGGCTGCTTGCAGGGAGCAGCTTGACACCAACCAGGTCCTGCTGGGAGCGTTTCCTGGTGGATTGGGCCCCTTTTCAGTAATACAGAGTTGAATTATGCCTCTCTGTGTTGTTTTAGGTGAAGAGAGTAATTCTAGCCTTCCTGTTAATAATCAGCTTCTGAAAATGCTGTTCTTTACTACAGAACACCTCATCGTTTTAGGGCGGACAAGATCTCTCTCAATATTTATCTCTTAAAAAGCAAAACAAAGAAAGGCCATGGGAAAAAGACGGGGGGGAAGCCCCCAATTCCGCTCGGCTTGGGAGCTGCCTTCTCCACGCAGATGAGAAACGGCTGGAATGCCGCTGGCTCCATCCTTCCCAGCCCCTTTGCATGATAAATCACCGGCTGAGCATCCACCTTGGCCTGTTTGATCTCAGCTCAGCAAGATTCAGTTTTGAAGTGAAGAACTCCAGGTCTGATAGGTCAGAGATGAAGCACAGAGCCCTGTGACCACAGAATGGCCAGGCAGCTTTTGAGGGCCCAATGCAGCCCCTCCCCTGCCAGCCCACCTCTCTCATGCTTTTCCAAGCTGAGCCTATCTGGGGGGCTTAAGGAAGAATTCACTGGTCCAAGTGACCTCCCCCTCTGCAGCGCACTGACCAAGGGCTTGCACAAGTGAAGCCTGCACCCATGGCGTCAGTTAGCCCCCCACCCCAAGAGTTTGTCTTATGGGCAAAAGCATCTTCCGGGCGTTTGCTAATTAATGGGCAGTTCCTGCAGAGAGCTTGGTCCGGCTGGCAGCGTGCTAGACATGTTCAAAGGGCTCCGTCCATTACAGCTGCCCTCGGTGCCACTGGCAGCCAACAGCCGGGACTGAATTGCAGGGAGCTCGGAGGGCGGGCAGCTTTGGATCAGCCCAGGTGGGACTTCCTATGCTTGCGCTACCTTGGGGCCTCAGCTCTGGTCCCCTGCAATCCCTTTGGACTGAGCAATTTTGGGGGCCATGTGAAGGGAGGGTCTCTTCCCCCCCTCCCAGCATGTCCCCAAATCCCTCCTTGCCTGCTGCAATGTCTCTGGGATCGCCTCGTGCCTGGATTTAGGCCATTCTGAGCCTGCAGAGGAGCCAGTTTCCCAGGGTGACTCTTTAGCAGTGTGCCAAAGCCCTGAAAAGCAGGTCCTCCCCTCTTATCCTTGGGGTACACATCCACCCTGGCTGGCATTAGGAGTCCCAAGGATGCCCAAGTCCACGAGAGCGGGCAGAGGTCCAGTGTGCTGGCTTTATCCATGGACCTCAGTGGCTGGAACCAGACATCCTGTCCCCTTGAGGAAGGTGGGG